ATTCCAATGTACCTCTTGAGATGAGTACTCCTCGTTAGTAGAGAATGAGTTACTTACCAGCAATTTCCTTATCCCTTAACTATGCCCCCGCATAGGTGTAGCTATTAGGAAAGCCATGTAAAAGCTAAGAGAATGACCTTACTCTAGGCAAGTGAGGATCCCTCATCCGATAGGGTTAATATCAGGATTCCATGTCTAGCTCTCATGGTCTAAGTCGATTAAGCTAACCCCTACAAAAGTAATGAAAATGCTAAGTCTTCTAAAAGAGTGTACCACTTAGGGTAGGTAGTGGAATGAGACGCTATTTATCCATTGCACTAGGTAGGCATTCCGAAAGGGGAGTGTTGGTGAGTCTTATATGAATTGAATGAACTAAGTCTCCTAAAAGAACGTACTACTTAGGGTAGGTGGTGGAATGGGCCCTATCTATCCATTGCTCTAAGTAGACCTTCCGAAAGGGGAGTTTTGGTGCTAAGCCTTCTAAAAGAGTGTACTACTTAGGGTAGGTGGTGGAATGAGACACCATCTACTCATTGCACTAAGTAGGCATTCCGAAGAAGTCTTTTGGTGTTGCTTGAGTGTTCTTCTAATGTTTTGTCATTGTGTGGGTGCTTGTTCTCCCGAGGTGAGTAAGCCAAAAAAGAGGTAGTCTTGAGGGTCACTTTGGTGTGTATTGAAGGAGGTATATGTGAGTTTCCTTCATGTCTTACCTTGGTGAGTCTTAGGATAACCTTAGTTAGGGAAACTCTTACGGAAATGAGTTCACTTCCTCTTTGCTTGGCCTTGGAAGTTCACTATTTTGGAATAGGGATAGTCCACTGTAAAGTCAAAAAAGTGAAGTAGTTCACTGTAATGTCCAAAAGGAGTTTACTGTAATATTTTGGAAAGCTTACTGTAAATTGCTTCTTGTTGTTAAAGTTATGGAAATTCTTCTCTAAGTGTTAATGATGATTATTATGTTGTTTTACTTCTATATTCTTGAATGTTTTGTTTAATTGGCATAAAATTGTATTTATACTAAAATGTCCAGTTTTGCATGTTTTTCATACTTAGTACATTATTTGTACTAATGATATACTTTTCTATACTCTATAAGTATAAGTTTGGAAGCAAGAAGAAATCTAGTAGGCAAAGCTTGGGAAATCTTCTCTTTCAAGATTTCGTATGTCCTCATATATTCGAGGACATAGTCTATGTTTCTTAGTTTTGTTATTAAGACTTATTATGTATTTTCTTTCAATGCAAAGTAGCCGTGTCCCTAAGATATTATGTAGTGTCTTTAAGATTGGCTTGTGACGGTGAGACTTCCTTGATATTTTATGAAAAATTTTCTTTTATTAAAATATTCGTGAAAAGTTTTAATTCCGCACTACTTTTCATGTCTTATGTAATGAACGATAGTTAAAGGGCTTATACAAGACCCCCAAAGGGTCAAGTACGTCCTGTCATGACCCAAGGGTTCTCCCTAACTTCTAGGGGGTGCTTGTCGGTCGTTACAGTTTACCATCAAACCAACTCTCTCTTGTCGCTCATTTTTGTTTTATTTTATACCTCATTCACTTCTTTCAAATTTAGCTTTTGTAGAAACAATATATTATATGATTATTTATACTTATACACAAATGCATGAAATTTACCACCCACAATTCATTCAAATGTAGATTATATTTCAATTAAATTGTGTAATTTTTTAAATATCTTTAAATATATTCAGTATGATTTTGTCATTTTATTTATTTTTTTCTGTAAATTTTAAAAATTATTCAGTACAATAATAAATTTATTTAAAATTAAACTTTTGGTTTTATTAAAAAAATGAATAATCGGTTCAAGTTGAACATCGATACCAATAACTATAGTACTTCATCATAATATATTTGAAATTCTCATTAGTTCATTTCTTTATTTGTGATTTCATTTTTTAGTTTATTTCAATTTTAACACTGATGGAAAAAGTTAATAGAAAGTTATGAAATATATTGCACCTTTGCAAAGTCTTAGTTTGTAAGTCGACGTTATCTCTGTATAGTTACTCTACGTATGTATGTGAAATTAATATTAAATATGTACATATTTATAGACAAAAGCAAATAGATCGACTTACACTATGTAGTTTACCAATCACAAATCGATAGATATGCACAAAACTTAGCACAAAGACTTGACAATTTTTTTTATCGTGCTTATCAATGAAAGTGTATCAAATAAAAAAAATGCAAAATATTAGTGATCTAGTAGTAGAACCGTGCACACTCACAATACCTATAACCCGGATTGTACTTTTCAAATGATGCATTTTATAATTGCGTAATTTAAGAAAATTGATGTGAACTTTTTCATTTTTATAAAATCGACCGAATTGATTGGTTTTAATATTTTTACTTGCCAATTAATGAATGGATTCTGCCTACTTTTTATGAAGCACTTGTATTATTCTTTTTATAAGTCGTCACTTGTAATTATGAAAAATTGTAGAAAAAAAATTGTATTTAGTTATGATTTTTTTTGTAGCAAATAATTTAACTATTCACTACAAATTTTAAGTCGTCGCTATTTAACACCTGACATATTTTGTGACAATTTTTTTGCTGTAACTAAATTATAGATTGATTAGACACAATATAATATTTGACACCTATTATTTATATTGTTAGTGAGGAAATAAATTTCATAATTAAATATAAATTTTCATAGCTAAAATTTATAATATTTGACTATGAACTCTAATTTGTCGATATTGTAACAACATATTTTTTTAGATAAAATTTTTTGTGTCCAAATTTAATAAATTATAAGACAAAAAATATTTTGTCATGAATTAGCTACATTATTAGTGACGGAATAATGTGTCACTAATAACTTTAAATTCGTGACGAACACTACTTAACAAATGACGTCAATTAATTTTTGATGGGAAATTTTAGTGGACAAAACTTTGTTATGGATTTTATGTTTCGTCACTAAAAGTATGTGTCTCATATATTTAAGCACGAAAAGTAAATTTTGTCACTAAAGGTGAATATTTAGTGACGAATCTGATGTCGTAGTATGTCATGAATTACATACACTATTAGTAACAAAATAATGTGTCACTGATAACTTTAAATTCGTGACTAACACTACTTAACAAAATTGCGCCAAATAATATTTTGATGGGAAACTTTAGTTGACAAAACTTTGCTACGAATTCTTATGTTTCATCACTAAAAATATGTGTCTCATCTATTTAAGCATGAAAAATAAATTTTGTCACTAAAAGCGAATAATTAGTGACGAATTTGATATCGTAGCTAATAATTTTGTAGCTATATATCATATTTGTTGTAGTGTCTTTTGATAAGCCATTTTTGGATATGATTTAGAAATTTCCTATGTTGCTTATATAATTTTCTGGCTGAATCCATCGATGGCCCTTACAGTTGACATCAATTTTCACTTAGATACCTCTACTAAGCTTTGTTCATTTTAGACACCTGATGTCATGTTTCACTTTGTCACTTTGACACTTTTTACTGACATGGCATAATGAGTGTAATATACTTAGTACTAGCGCTTGAAAGACTCATTTAATTATTTTTATTTTATTTTTCATTTTCTTTCTCATTTTTCAACCACCATGGAGAAACAGGTATGCCACCATCTCGCATAACTTGAACTTCTTCCATGGAGAAATAAGTTTGATAATGCTATTGATAAAATAATGAATTTAAACACGAAGATATTTTTTTAAAAAATGAATTTCAACCCATTAGAAGACTCACAATTTGTGTTGCGGTAAAGAAGAAAGACAGCGAAAAATCATAGATTCATAAATAATCTAAACTTAGTTTTGAATAGTAGTACGTGTGTGTTTGCTATTCTATTTGAGTTCGTCAAACTAAGTCGAACTCGGTGATTGGTCACTTCTAGAACTTGTTTAACACTTTTTCCTCTTCAAACACAAACTTTGAAGAAGACGATTGGTGGGGTAGGTGAGGAGCAGAGAAGACGATGTGGGTGAGGAAGAGATGTGTTAGGGTGGGGTAGAGGTGGAGAAGCCGTTGGGTGGGAGGGGAAGAGCGGAGAAGCCAATTTGAGTTGGTGGAGAGGGGTTTGGGTGGGTGGGGGCAGAGAAGATGATCTAGGTGCGGTCGAGTTTTTTTTTTTAAATTTTTTGAGTTAAAAAAAATTCCAAGTATCATTTAGTCGTTGACCACTTCTTCTTTCTACTAAAATATCACTATTTAAATATTATTTTTATATATATGCCACATGTTTTTATTTAATTTGCCATGTCATCATTGAGTGTGTGACACAAACCTTATATATTTGATTGATTGTCAACAATATCTAAATAACACAGCAAGACACGACATGAGATTTCTAAAATGAACAAAGCTTAATTGAGGTGTTTAAATAAAAATTGGTGGCAACTTTGGGGGAGAAGGAGGACACTGATGGGTTCAGCCTAATTTATTTCCTCACTATCTTGCATTGAATATTTTAGTAAAGCTACAATGAATAATATTTTGTTAAGAAACTGTGAATATTATTATATTTAATAATTTATTCTAGTAATGAAACATTAAATTCTTGAATTTATTTTACAATAAATTAATTTAACAAAAGTATATATTACAATTCATACATATATATTGTACTTTATGTATAATGAATTTATATTTATATGAATTCAATAAATATGATACACAATTTAGTAAGAGTAATGATTTTGAAGTAGTCATCTACTTTATGTTAATAAATTTTGTATTTATATGAATTAAGTAAATATGATACTATATAAATTAGTAAGATACAATAATTTTAACGTAATCAAAACTAACTTTTATTGAATTTCAAAAATACTTTTTAAATTAATAAAAATTTATTTATTATTAAATAACATATTTATAAAATAGTAATATTTTATAATTCAATCAATATTAATTTAGTGATATTTTAGTGTCGAAATTACACAGTGTATTATGAATCGTCCAAACAAGACGCAAAGAATTGCCAGCGAATACTGGTGAAGTCTCAGTGCTGATGAGGCAAACAGTACTCCCAACCTAACTGTACATTTCAGGTTTCACTCTATTTTTTCAACCTATACATACATACATACATATAGAGAGAGAAAGAGTAGAGAGAAGAAGAAGAGGGTTGTTTTGGTTTTGCTCAAAAGAGGGGAAAACATGGAGGAAGGACAGTGCGAAGAGGAAGTGCTTGGTTCAAGCTTGACAATGGAGAAAGTTGCTGCTGCTAAGCAATTTATTGAGAATCACTACAAGACCCAGATGAAGAGTATTCAGGAACGCAAAGAAAGGTAATTTCTTCAAACAAAAAAACATTTCTTGTTTATTTTATGTGGGGTCAAATTAGTTTGATGGTTTATGTTTATTTCTGCTTGTTTTTTCTTCTTCAAAGATCTGTTGTTAGCACTAGCTTTTTATGTGTTAATAGCTGGAAGTAGACAAAAAGGGTTGCAGGTTTTTGGGATTCATGATTTTCTTTTTCATGTTTGGAATAGTTTGACTTGATTTAGTTATGCTCAGTTGGATCAGCTGGTTGAACTAAGGGAATATCTTTGTGATAACGATTTGGGGCATTTTGGCATCAGGTAGTTGGTGCACTAAATCACAAGTATCCTTTTTTTGATGTTGTTACATTATCAGTATTGCAATTAAACTGGCCCAAATGCAACAGAATGGATATGGAAGTTTCATAAAGCCAATGCCAAACTAGTTTGAGGTGGAGATATAGCTGTTGTAGTAGTACTAAGTTTGAATGTATCACCTGCCATCATGAATTCTCAGTTAAGCTGCTTAATCTCTGATAGTCACCATATCATGCTCTAGGACAAGTACTGTTCTTTGACATTGTTGGAAAGCAATGAGATCTGGCCTTTTTTCAAGCTTGAAATAGAGAAGGCCTTTTGACCAATAATTGATCTTAACTTCTCCCAATTCTAAAGAAAAAGGGATTCAGTGAAAGGTGGATAAATCACTATTACTATAGTGAAGTACCCAGTTTTGATTAATCAGGGTCCCTGATGGCTTTTCTCCCCATAAAAAGGTTTCAGGCAGGGAGACCTCCTTTTCCTTTTTCTTTTTATTCCAGAAATGGAGTATCTTAGCAAAATGCTAAAGAAAGCCAAGCATTCACAGTAGATTCAGCAATTTTGCGGATTCAGTCTCAGTATCCCACTGGTTGTATGCCGATAATACACTATTTTTTGGTGGTGCAGAAAGGTCCAAAGCATCCATCTCAAACTTACATTGCTGATATTTGAAGCTGTCAGGGGCACATATTAACATGCTCAAAAGCATTATTATCAGTCAATGAAGCCCCTAATTTAATTATATGTTGCAGTATAAGTACATTCACCACTACTTATTTGGGGTTTACTCTGGTTGCTAGATTTAAATCCTCTGGGATCTGGAATTGGGTGATTAGAGAAGCTACAGGAAAGGTTGGCTTCCTGGCAAAAGTATTATCCCTCTATTGGTAGAAAATAAACACTCATAAGTAGCTTTTTAAACAGCATCCCCGTTAATTTTATGTCTCTTTTTCCTTATTCTAATCAAGCTATAAAAGCAGCTTGCTAGATTCGAAAGATCTTTTTTTGTGGGAAGGGAACGGTCTGGGTTATGATAACAAAGTGATCCAAAGTTATTCAACCAAAATTACAAGGCACTTTGGGTATAAAAGATCTAGCAGCGCACATCAAGTGTTTGTTGATGAAATGGTTGTGGAAATACAACTTAGAGGAATAAGGTATGTGGGAACAAGAAGTCAAAACTGTTAAACACAAATATGAAGAGCAAAATCATTGGTACATTATGCCCTCATCGTACTGATATTTGGAAGTTCATTAGCAAACTTTGGGTTGAATCTTCCTTGAACTCCTCTTTCAAAGTAGGTAGTGGAACACATTGTTTTTTGGAAAGCAAAATGGCTAGGCAACACTGCTATTCTTATTTGGAATAATTTGACTTAATTTAGTTACACCGAAATTGGATCCACTACTTGAACAAGGAGATATAATTGTGGTACATAATCGGAACATTTCGGTGGTGACTTGACTTAGAGCTAATGATGCATTACGAGTATACTGTTTCAATTTGGCTACATTGTGAGTAGTGGAATGAAACAGGCCCAATTGAAGAGGAATGAATATTGAGGAGTCATACAGCCAAGCCAACTAGGACTAAGGCCCGGGGGGGGGGGGGAGGGGTTGTTGTTGATGTATTGCGTCTAAATGTATCACTTGACATGAACTCTTAAGCTGCTTACTCTATGATGATCATAGTATGTCATCCGGGATGAGCATTTGACTTTGACGTCTTATATATCGAAATCCCTACTTTTAGCTGGTTGTTTATGGATGATCAGTTTTAAAGGTCCAGATTTTACTAGGTCAGAGTGACAAATGCAAATGCCAAATTGGGACTCTATTAGGGAGATCAGGCTGAGCAGTTTTATGCTTTCTTAACTCATGGGTATGGAAGTTGTGTAATAGAATCAAGAAATTTATTACAGTATAAATCATAAATTGAGGGCCTGTAGAGTAATTACAATTTTATCTAAATGGAATGTGTACTTTAATGTAATTTCCTAAGGATATAAAAGCTGATCAACATTTTGTTTTGAGGTATTGTACTTATATGGTAGTATACAGTAGGAACACGTATGAGATGCCTGTTACAAAAGATTAGGTGCTATTGTAGAAAAGCATGTTTCCTACGATGTTAATTGCTTTTGTTACATTCTTGTATTCAACGATGCTTTTGTTACATCTTGTATTCAAGGATTTTTCTCCATCACCATTGCTTCATCAATAAAAAAAGAAATAGCAATTTAAACTTTTAAGCAAAAAAACAAAGTTGATCTTTTCTAGAGTTCACTTGTTAATCTTGACATTTCTTTGACTATATTTCACTAAGACTAAACCCACCTCCTCCTCCCCCTCCTCCCCCCCCCCACCCCCCCCCCCCCAAAAAAAAAAAAAAGAAGGAAAAAGAAAGTAAAAGAAGAAGCTTAGCATGCTATGTGTACAGGCATGATTGTTAATATATATATATATATATATATATATATATATATATATATGCATGCATTTAGGATCTATAACTATCACCATGTTAATTTCCTGTAGGATCTATAATCTTGATAATCGTTCCTATTTTAGAATGTGTACATCACTATTTAAACCCACAATAGCTTGAGAGTATAACTAAGGTACACTTCTCTAAGAGCCTGTTTGGCTCAGCTTAAAAGCTGATCAAACTGACTTAAAAGCTGGTTTTGACTTATTTAGCTGTTTTACAATACTCAAAATAACTTATTTTAGGTTCAAAAAAACTTATTTTAAGTCAAAAGTTAAAAGATGGGGTAGGGGTGCTTTTTTTTTTTTAGCTTATAAGCTGTTTTAAGTTGACCACATTTTTATCTTTTTGCCCTTAATATTTTTATACAATCTCCAAATTACCCACATAACCCTAACATCTCTTTCTTCCATTTTTCCCTTTTCACGTTTGACATAGCAATTTCAGCACTTTTATCCAAACGCAAAACTGTTTATTTTAAAAATAAGTTTCAGCACTTTCAAAAATACTTTTTTAAAGCTGCTTTTATTAAGCCATCCAAACGGGCCCTAAATATCTTCCTTGTCTTATATTTGTTACAACATTGTCTAAAAATAGGCGTTGGATTCTAGAAAGAAAGTTAGCATCTTCTGATGTGCCTAAAGAAGAGCAAATGCATCTGATCAAAGATCTAGAGCAAAAGGAGACGGAGTTTATGAGACTGAAGAGGCACAAAATATGTGTGGATGATTTTGAACTTCTAACAATTATTGGCAGAGGAGCCTACGGTGAGGTCAGTATTATTCCTTTAAGGTCTGAGTTTTGTTTGTTCACGTTGCAAGTAAATGGTTTCCTTTCATGATCTTCCGTTTCCATTTCTACTGTATTTGAATTATATTCATACAAATGCTTGGATATAAAGAAACTGATAATATAAAAAAGTAATATACTTCTAACATCTATATGACACCTAATATTTTGGTAAATTCCAGAAGGTTGACATTTCTATTCATAAAATTGCAATTTCCACAAATTGTTCTTTTAGGTACATCAGGTTAAGGAAATTTCAAATTCATTTGATGTTTTAATTCAATCTAGAAAGGTTTCTCTATAAAAAAAACTTTTCAGCCAGTACAATATTATTTTTCCATCTCAATTGACATTACACAAAAGTCAATAATTATTTTAAATTCCGTATACAGTCAAATCTCGTCCAATAAAATATATGGGGAAGTAGAAAGTACATGCTATTTGAGTGCTCGCGATCTGGTGGGCATTTTCTCTTTTTGTGTCCTTATGTTATTATGTTGGAGAACCCTCATCTCATGAGCTAACTTTTGGGATCTAGGCCCAAGGTCCATTTTATGAACGCCTACCATGTTAGATGTCAAACAACAACACACAGACATATTCAGTCTAAAGTCTAACTTGAAGAATGATTGCAGAAATTTCCAAAAAAATTGGTCTTCTTTTTTAAATGACAAGTTCTACCAAAACAAACTACATAACAATGAAACTTTCAGTGAATAAAGTTACATTTCCTCTCCCAGAAAAAACTATCGTTCTATTTTAGGGAGAAGTGGGACTATAATTGCTAGCATCGCTTGGGACCATGACTACACAAGAACAAGGCTTTCAATGAATGAAGTTGCACCTCATGTCCCATAAATAACTACCTATTCTATTTGCGGGCGAGTGGGGACTATTATGGCTTTGCACCTCTTGGGACAATGAGTATCTTATTCTCTATATGATTCGATATCTATGTTAGCATTAATGCTTATTGCTGGCTTTCATGGTTGATGTTGGAGTCAGTATTCAAATGTCCTTGGGGAGAAAATCGAAATGACTAACCTCAGAGGTTTTATTTGGACAACACCAAGGAAGATTACTGAGGTCTTGCTTAGCTGGGAAGAAACAGGTGTAGGATTGATACACAGAGGTAGATGGAGGATGGTTCCTGCTTGTGTTTGGGGGACAATCTGGAAAGAGAGAAAGTCCAGATGTTTTGAAGATGTTAGCAGTTCACTTCAGAGGATTAAGTTGAATTGCTTTAGACTTTTATGTTTTTGGTCTAACAAGAGTTACATAGAAGATATCGCTTCAATGATGGACACCATAGTGTTTTGTTAAGGTCTCCGGAGCAGTTCTCTTCTTTTTTCACTTTAAAATATGGTTCGAGCAATCTTACTGCTGTTTTGATAATATATAATAAATGTTACCTTCTCAATAAAATCAAAATCACTATATTCACCAATATCTTCTTCTTCTGTGTACATGGATTGTGCTGCTATTGAACTTATCTTTTTACAGAACACTCCCAATTCTAATACGTGAATGTGCTCTGCAGGTAAGATTATGCAGGGAGAAGAAATCGGGTAACATTTATGCCATGAAGAAGTTAAAGAAATCTGAAATGCTCATCAGAGGACAGGTGAGAAGAGCAATTGCCTTCATTATTTTTTTTCTATTTGGTTTTCATTATATGCCTACTTTTATCAATGTTGCTTCTACTCTCTGGTAGAGTATGTAATTATGATGCTAAGATACCTCAGATTTGGAAATTGGCTGCTTGTACACATTGACATACTACTGGTTATGGTGATATACTGCCAAGCTGTTTAGCCTAATTCAGCCTATATCCTGTTGCTCGCACTATGATTTTGACTGTGTAAATCAGAAGTTATGGTGGAGAACTATGTCTACATGTATATGATTGACAATTGGGAAAGATAGAAATGCTAGATGTTTTGAAGAATGTAACTGTATTCTTTTGTTTGACTTTTGGTGTAAAGAAAATGTTGTAGATGATTCAGAATCCTTAGTTGACATGTTAGATTCTTAGTAAGATAATACAGGATACAATTGTGGCCTTTTTAATTGTACATATGTCTGCAGCACTGCTTCTGTGCTGATTTAAAATACTGTTACCATACTAAAAAAATTTCCTTAGGGTGGAGTATTTGATATCCAAAATCAGCGCAAGATTTACACAGTTCAACCTTTGCATCTGAATCTCATTCACTTTTCAGACAGATTAAAAGCTTTTGCACCTGGGGGTATCCTGCAGAAATCTACTAATTCAGTTACTGTCCTGTTTCATCTTTAAAGCACCACTTATGTCTTATATGCGGAGTTTATATTATGCTAAGAATTAAGATGTGCTAACAACAAATTTATGAGCAGACTTTAGTACTACTACTAATACTTCTTCGGACAAACTCCCATCTAAGCTACAATCTCTAGGAATATTAGTATGTGGATTTAACTAAGAATAGATTAAAGAAAGAGAACAAGGATCATATAGGCAATACTAACTAGTTCAGATTAAGAGGTTATTGTTGTTACACTTGCAGTAGGTCTTGAAATGGTTAAGTATGAGATTCAGAACTTCTAGTTTTGGGAAAATCTGTGTTTTTGACTAAAAAGACAAATTGGTTACTAATATTGGAGGGATATGAATGAGAACAGAGCGGATTATATAATGGATTACTGCCCAACCTCAACTAGTTTGGGATTGATACATAGTTATTGGAACTCCCATGCAGTGTTCTCTTGAACCCTTTAACATCCAATACTTGTAAAACAGTAAAAGCGAGTAAAGAGGATTCCTAATACCTCCTGGAGCGTCAGGTTTTCATACTCTTGTCTGATTCATGTTTCATCTCTGAACATGCAAAAAGACCAGTTTGAGCATCTCCAAAATGCATGTGCCAACTAGTTTCTATTTTGCATCGTGTGTGATCTCTTGGGCTCTTGTGTAACCATACTTTCATGTATTTCTGCACTGATCGTTTGCCAGATATAATGTCTGTCATTATATAGTAGTCAGTACATTTCATAGTGACATCATCCCATCAACTCGGACCAAGATTTTGAATTTAGGAAAAAAGATAGGAATCTTCAGAATTAGAATTTCCCTCATTGGTTTCTTTGTCATTTAAAGATAAAGATTTTTCGGTCAATAATAGTTGTTTTCTAATACCCTCTCTTCTTTATATGAGAAACAAGGTTTGTTTATTTAGGTTTTATATTTATTCACTTTCTCTATATAACCTGCGATGCTAGATGCTATCACCGCATTTGTGCCAATTTTGGTGGTTAGTGGAATAAGATAGTTGAATAGTTTAATTCATATCTTTCTATGTCATATACATGGATTTATATACATGAGAGGTTGTGGAACAGAATCACCTAGATCCCATGAAATCTGGGATTCTATAAAATCATATATTTTTCAAAAAAAAAGGAGAAAAAGATATTCTAAATTACAACAATTATCTTTAAGGTCTTAGAGGATCAAGTTTTGATATGGAGTATATCCTCTATCAGTCAACACTCCCCTCTAGCGGGTGAATGGATATCTTCCATTCCTAGCTTGCGTATTGGATCTTGAAACGCATTATTTGGTAGTCCTTTTGTTAAAACATCGGCCACCTGTTCTTTTTTAGATACAAATGATGTACAAATGTGTCCCCTATCTAATTTCTCCTTAATGAAATGTCTATCTACCTCAGTATGCTTTGTGCGATCATGTTGTACATGATTATGAGCTATACTTATTGCTGATTTATTGTCACAATAGTCTCGTAGGTCCTTCCCATCTTATCTTCAAATAATCAAGGATTATCTTTAACCATAACAACTCATAAACTCCCATAGCTATAGATCTAAATTGGGTTCTGCAGAATTTGTTTTTATTTCATAGGTCCTGGCAGCATCATGTACTTTAGAGTTGTCTCCTTCACTGCATCCCAAATTTCCTTAGGGGTGCTCAGGAACATAGTGCTATCGCTGATTTCTGGAAGCATAGAGTTCCATAACCAAGACATCACCATTGCATCATGTTCATCCCATACATCAAATGTGGTGTCTTCTTTAGATGGTCCTGTACCAAGAAGGTGTCGTATTTTCCCTTTACCCTTTAAAAAGGTATGAACCGGTTGAGCCCATTTTAGGTAATTTTTTTCCATTCAACCGATAAGAGGCTTGAATGATTTGCAAATCACCCGATTAAACTGTAGAGTTATTCGCTACAGTTGCAGAAACATTTCCAGAGGCTGGAATAGTTGCGGCAATCACATTTTCTGGACAAGATGAATAAAACCATTAAAGAATAAGCCTAAAACTCTGATACCATATGGAATAAGGTAGTTGAATAGTTTCATTCATATCTTTCTATCTCATATACATGGCTTTATATTCATGAGAGATTTTGGAACAGAATGACCTAGATCCCATGAAATCTGGAATTCTATAAAATCATATATTTTGCCATAAAAAGGAGAAAAAGATATTCTAGATTACAACAATTATCTTTAAGATCTTAGAGGATCAAATATTGATATGAAAAATACCATCTATCAGCCAACAATTAGGATTAGTGCTCTTGGACTGGATATGTTGTTGCATTAATTGAGGTGTTTGCTAGCATCCCAGACAACTGATATGAAGTGTAGCACTAGAATAGTTACAGATCTCCTGTTCAAAATTTTTTCTTTTTAATCTTATCGTATGAAAGTACTCTCTGGAAACTTTCATGACATGTTTTCTAGGGCTATATTTTATTTGTACGTTCAAAGGGGTCCCTGTGGTCCTTCTCCTCGTTTTACTGGACAGCTTTTCTTTTGTAACTTAATCTTCTTCTGGAGCCCCCTTCTCATGTAGGTTCAGCATTGATTTCTTAAATTAAGAAAACTTTATTGCCTTCGAGAAACAGAAATGATCCAAGTAATACACCAAGGTTGATTGTTCCCCGCATGAAATGAAATGATTGAGTGTCATATTGAAGTAATTTTTCAGTGTCCGCTGTATGAATGATTGGAACTCATGAAGCTGCTCGTGCATTCTTTATTTAATAGGAAGTTGGGAGGGTGGGGTCTGTATCCTGTTTACATGGGGTATATCCGCCAACTTTGTAATCCCTATTGAAAAAATTGATTTTCGCAGGTGGAGCATGTGAGAGCTGAAAGAAATTTATTGGCAGAAGTGGCCAGCCATTGTATTGTAAAATTATACTACTCATTCCAAGATGCTGAATATCTCTACCTTGTCATGGAGTATCTTCCTGGCGGTGACATGATGACTCTGCTGATGAGAGAAGATACATTGTCTGAAAGTGTAGCTAAATTTTATATTGGTCAGAGTGTCCTAGCTATAGAGTCTATTCACAAGCATCATTACATTCACAGGTATGTTTGCATCAACTTCTTATTTGTGAAAGCTACTGTTATGAAATAATTAAGACTTAAGGTAATTTATGTGCATAATTTGAATGTGAATATGTAATCACTTTCTTGAGGTATAGTTCTTGCCATGTTGTGACTGTTTTGGTGTTTATATTTTGATTTCTTTTTTTACAGAGATATCAAACCTGACAACCTTCTTTTGGACAAAAATGGTCACATGAAGCTCTCTGATTTTGGTCTCTGTAAGCCTCTTGATTGTAGAACGTTATCCACATTAAAAGAAAATGAAGCTATGGATGATGAGAATATAAAGGATCCTATGGATATAGATAGCAGCTTCCCAGATACCAATGATGGAAATAAGTGGAAAACCCCCCGCGAAAAGCTTCATCATTGGCAGATAAACAGAAGGAAATTGGTATGCAATATTACTGATATATGTTGTTTCTTCTTTGCATTGTGTGAGGATTTACAGAATGTCATGGAAACAAAATTCACGTGTTGCAACATGGAACCCAACAAGCCACTACCTGCTAGGTGAACCAATAATACAACCCAAAGCATAGTATAAGAAACATCTTTATAGGAACCCCTAAATAAATGAAAAGGATATCTCAAAACAGCAGAAAGCTAATATAAGATACAAAATCACGTGTTATAGTTGAATGAATTTATCTTGTTCCAAACACTTGCGCTTATGTAATACCAGATTATTGCAGGAATGACAAATTGTATTGGCTTTTATTTCAGTCAATGAAGAATGCTTTTTTGCAATATGTCAATAACTCTGATATAAAATCTTAATATTCACTTTTGTAGACACTAAATTTAGATCTGTGTTATTTAGCAAGTATTGAATTTTCTATGTATTTAAAGCTAATTTTTGTCTTCTTCATCTAAAAGGCCTTTTCAACTGTCGGTACACCAGACTATATTGCTCCTGAGGTACTATTGAAGAAAGGATATGGAATGGAATGTGATTGGTTAGTGTTCATTCCGAAAGTAGAATTAGCTTTTTTGCATAGATCACCAGGAGTTCTGGGATTCTCTGCTCATGCATGAATCAATGTGACAAATGTCTAAATGTCAATAGCGATACCTTCTTCAAGTTGGTAAATAAATTTGTTGAACTAATTGATGGATTTCCCTCCCAATATTTACCTTGGATACTTCTCTTTTGATTAGTTCGATTGCTAACATATGTGGTGGTACCTTTTACTGATAATGATAATTAAAAAACTGTATTCTCTGTGTTTTATTTTAGGGAGAACTCATCAGTGGCCACCTAAACTTGGCATGAATTTTCACTTAGACACTTCAACAAGTTTTTGTTCATTTTAGACACTTCATGGCATGCACAACTATGTCATTTTGACACTTTTTCGACAATCTGCCAAATTTGTTAGGTGTGTGTAACACATTCACTAATGACATGTCAAAATGACGAATTAAATAAAGACATGTGGCATAAAATTAATTATTAAACGATGAATTTTGAGTAGGAAAAAAACTACCAATGACTCATTGACATGTCTTTAACCAAATAATTAATGCAAGTCAAAAATTGTTGTTTTAGTACATAAATATGGAGTCCCATTTTTTCTACTAAAAATTATATAGCTTATCTATTTAATTTGAACTTTTCCTTGATTATGATGTAAGAAGACATACAAATGGATTGGAACTAAAATTGTTTATGGTTAAGGTAGGATTTAATAATTGAAAATATGATTTCCTTCCATTTCTGAGTGTTTTTTTTTTCTTCTTGAGATTTGTGTTGGTTTTTCTCAAATTATTTTGAGGAGGAAGAAGGACAACAAAATAAGTTAAAGTATTTAAGCTTAAATTTGTTTTTTTTTAAACTGTTAACTTTAGTCTATATATCCACAGGTTTACTACAACAAAAAGTTCCCCTTTAAAAGTTTTACAACTTACAGAATAAAATAGTCTTAGTCTAAACTGCTACCTGTAAATAGCACATCAAAGATATCTTCTGTCCTAGTTAATATATCTTGTTCACACCAACAATAGAAAAGAGCTAAGCAGTCCATCTTGATCTTCTGTAAACTATTCTGCCAATTTTCAAAACTCCTGCTGTTTCTCTCTTTCCAGATTGTCCACCAAATACATGCCGGGATAAGTTTCCATCTCTTCTCCTAGTCAGAAGCATTGCCATCTCTATTCCAGCTGCTCAGGATTCCTTTAGTGCTTCCTGGTTTCACCCATCTTATCCCCTTTAGACAGATGAACATTCTCCATAATTGTTTTGTCCATGTACAATGCAAAAAAAGATGGTTAATTGTCTCAGCATGTTCTCCACATAAAGTACATCTCGAAGCCAACTGATAGCCTCTTTTCTTTAGATTTTAATGAGTCAAAACTGCTTCTTTTGTTGATAGCCCACATGAAGCAGTTTACTCTGTAGGGTACTTTTGGTTTCCAGGTGATCTTCCATGGCCATTCCATCTCCTGTCCAGCATTCTTGTTGAGTTCCTTATACACTGAATTTACTGAGAATTGACCTTTGGTATCATTCTGCCAAACTAATAAGTCCTTCTTTTTCAGTGAGGTTGCTGAAAGAGCCTACTGAATCTGCCACTTTGTCAATCTCTCTATCCTGTAGGTTCCTCCTTGAGAACAAATTCCATCCTTGTCCAGTCCACATTGTAGCCACAGTGGCCTGTTAATGTTGGCATAAAGTGAACAATTCAGGATGCAACTGTTTCATAGGGACAGGACCCATTCCACTTATCCTCCCAGAAGGATGTCTTTGACCCATCTCCCACTTCTACCTTGGTTCTGTGATATAGCACTGGCCATAGATTTCTGATTCCCCTCCATACGGTGCATTTTATGGAGTACTTATCATTTTAGTCATCCGCTTATCTTCCATGCCATATTTTGCTATGATGACCTCTTACCAGAGCATGTTATCTTCATTTGCCAACTTCCACAACCACTTCATCATTAGGCTCTGGTTTTGTTTCCTCAGATTTCTTATACCTAGGCCTCCTGTGTTTTTACTCACCATCAGTTCTTTCCATTTAACAAGATGAAACTTCTTCTTATCTTCACTGCCTTGCCATAAGAAATTTCTTCTAAGAGCATCAATGCTATTAGATACACTGGCAGGCATAGGGAAGACTGACATCATATAAGAGGGTAATGCATCCATCACACTGTTAATTAAAGTCAATCTTCCTCCCAAGGACAAGTACAAACTCTTCTAGCTAGTGAGTCTCTTTTCACATTTCTCCAGTACCCCATTCCATATGCCTTTGGACTTGCTTTTTTAGCTCCCAAAGGCATACCTAGGTAAGCAGTTGGAAGCTCCTCAACCTTGCCTCCTAGTGTTCTGGTCAAACCTTCTGTATTAAGCACACTATTGATAGGATAGTGAAGCTTTTCCCCCAATAAGCTTAAAATTTATGGGCACTAGAATTCACTTTTTGTTTGTGGCATTGTCAAATTTATTTCACCATGGAAAGAGTTTAAGCTTTGAAAATGGTAGCCAAAAAATGGGGAAGAAGAAGAAGAAAAAAAAGTTAAATTTGATAAAATGAGGCTCTCACGCGCGTCCAGTGAGTATATCACACTTGCTATGCCATCTCAGCAGAAAGTCTCGAATTAACACAGCGGGACATAAAATGAATGGAGCTTAGTTAAGGTGTCTAAGTGAAAATTAGTGCCAACTTTAGGTGGCCACCGATGGGTTTGGCCTTTATTTTATAAGATATTCTATTCTTTTTGGTGAAGATATACTTTCTTTTCAGTCTGCTCAGAAAAGTTCGACATATTTCTATATTTGGAAATTCTTTAGTTTGAACATTCTGATTTTATCCTAATTGACAATGTCATGTTTAAGGCAATTAGATATTAAGGGTACTTTTGGTGCGTCATATTCTGCCTGATGTAAAACCTTTCTTTTCTTAAACTCCTTATCCATAATAAAATGAAGTAGAGGAGTCAAAATTTGTGGCACCTCTATGTTCATCTTAAGTAAATTCAATCTAGCAATACCTATTAGTGGCAAACAAAAAACAAAAAAGAACCCTACTAGACAAGGAATGGAATGGTCAAGTAACCACTAATAACAGAAAAGAAAGCAAAGTTAGATACAAATGGAGGTTGAGAAAGCAGACTAAGGTTATCTGGTGTTTTTAGTTGGGCTGCCTGCTGCCTGCTTGTGTTGGGAAGGCAAAGGAGAAGTAGGGAGGAGTGAGGACATCAGTGTTAGCATGGGAGGATACTGCATGAGGTAGTGGGATGGGGGACAAAGAAAGATTTTGGAGCAGTTGGAAGAGGGGGCTAGAGAAGAATTTCTCCCTGGGGCGACAAAACATGTTAATTTGAAGGTGAATGGAGTAAGAGTTTCTTGACTTTAGTCCATGGAAAGGTTAGGAAGAAAGAAGTAGGATATATCTGTGAGGGGTTCCACCTGCCTCCGTTTATGACCAAGTGGAGAGCTGTAAATTAAGTGCTTAACCTCCCCCCCCCCCCCCCCTTCAAGCCTTCACCATTCTGGGGATATGATATATCTGATGCTACAAGATCTAGTGCCTCATCTGCACAACAATCTCTAGTGGATGAGGCAAATTGTATTTTGGGATTTCGTGGAACTTCACTGGAAGCTTGACCATATCCACAGACCTATGTTTTCACTTTAGTTTGATGAGGACTGCAGGAAAATGCTTTTGTTTTCTAACCCGTTGTATAATTTCTAGTTATTTGCTAAAGTACAATGAACCATGTTGTGCTTTATGTATTTCTCATCTTTTTCTACTATACACTACATGCAGGTGGTCCCTTGGTGCAATTATGTACGAAATGCTCATTGGTTACCCTCCATTCTATGCCGATGATCCGATAACTACTTGCAGAAAGGTAGCATCTTTACTTTCTGTGTTCTTAAAATATGCTGTATGCTTTCCGTTTTTTTTATGATAAGGATATCTACTGCTTCTGAGATAACAGAAAGTGCCTTCTTCTTTCACTGTAAAAATCAAGAGAATGGTAGAAAAGTTTGATGCTAAGAATTTGTTGCAAAATGACCACATACAAAGAACAAGAATGCTTTGTATGCAATCTCATCCGAGTATGAACCACCTCTCTTTGCTGATGCCGGAGAACTGATAGCTTGGACAGCTGATGTCTGGACCTTTTCACGTGATGCTTAACCCCTTAGATTAGTCTCTTTCGTTTGGTTAATCCGGGTCTAAGTCTTCTACCTTTTGCACTACAAGTCTAAGATGTATTGCATTCATAGTGATACGCTTGCCAGTGCTACAATCAATGTTTACTATGTGAACGTGGTGTATTAGTGACTATCTCTGTATTATACCAACTAAAACGTACTGATTGCCTTCGTGTTGAAGTAAACCTTCTTTTCTGGTTCTCCTGCTACTTCCAAATTTATCCGATTCTAACTCCATGTGTGTGATTGCCAGATAGTTCACTGGAGAAATCACCTAAGATTTCCTGAAGATACTAAACTCTCACATGAGGCAAAGGATCTTATTTGCAGGTTACTATGTGATGTTGAGCATAGACTGGGAACTGGAGGTGCAAACCAAATAAAGGTAATATTTGAAGCACTCATCCAATCACTTTCACTAGAACCTTCATGTTTCTTCTGTTAATTTATTTGAAGTGGTTTATCAGGCTCATCCTTGGTTCAAGGATATTGAATGGGATAGGCTGTATGAAATGGAAGCAGCCTTCAAACCAGAAGTTAATGGAGAGCTGGACACCCAGAATTTCATGAAGTATGATGAGGTATTTCATGAAATTGAATGAGTCTTGTATTTTATTGGAGAAAGTTAATGACTTTTATAGCCAGTGACATACACCCTTTTGATACTTTTAAATATCTAATGCACAGTCAATGTCCATCTGTAACACCTAGAATTTTCCTTATTTTATTTATACATTACTGTCCCACCATCTCTATTTACTTACAAAATGGACTGCAACATGTGTCTTCTTTTCACTATCTGTTTACAATATTGGTGAACTGTGAGGAATGCCTCATCCGAAAGGTTTAGTAGAGGGTAGATTTCTATTATTTGTTTTTAGATCCACAGCACACCTTCTTGCATGTGGGACCATGTGAAGCGCGTGGACCTACTCATCTAAGAGTTTTATACTGTTTGTATGTTTCCCTTTAGAAGATATAAGTCAGATAGTAGGCATTCACACAACCTTCCAAAATAGCAGCCTCTTAAAGCACTATTCTTTCTCAAACAAATAACAAAAATCCCATGATGGTTATTCTCGCATTCAACAGCATGTGTTCCTCAATTGTGCATTTGTTTTGGGTTGAATATATATATTGGTCTTGGAAGTTGTCGATGAGTTGCTTAAGTTCAAACTCGATTGCTATGAGCATGGAGTAAAGTTAGGTTTGAGATCGGAGAGGGGGTAATTGTGTGTGTGTTTTAGCTGACTATTTTTTAGGTTTAGAAAAGAAAAAAATGTATGTGTATATGTATGTGTGTGTGCGCGCACATATTCTGCAGAAATGAAGGAGTTAGGAAAACAATAAGAGAGATTGATGCTGAAGAATTAGTCTTGATTCTAGATAAAGGTTCTCCAGAATTCTCCAATAAATGTGTCAGAAAGAAAGGTCCTTTGCTACCAAGAATAATTTCTTAGAGTCAATCGCTCCTACTTTCTTGTAATTTTTTCATTTAACAAAAAAAGGCACATTTACGTTCTACATATTATTCTTTACTCAAAAACTAGTTGGTACTCTCTCTCTCTCTCTCTCTCTCTCTCTCTCTATATATATATATATATATATATATATATATATATATATATACACGCCTCTTTTTTCTTTTAACTTTCTTTTGGCCATTTTTTCAATCAAAATTCATCTGATTCCTCAGTTCTGTAGTTTGAACGTCACAACTCATCAACTACCTTGAGTACTGTCCACTCACCCCCAGTGTAAATGAAGAGCACAGTTCAGGAGGCACACTGTATTGAGTGTAACGATAACTGTCCTGAGCCTTTTACTATTTTTAAGTGAAATAATGCTCTTCAAAAAACTGACATTGCAAAAGCTTGCAATCATATCTATTGTTCGACTTGTATGCTTAGATAAGCAACCTATAAAAAGGAAATGAAATGCTGTTTTTCCAGGCTTGCTTCTTTTTTTCTTGCGCCAAGCATGTACAAAGTTTTGTTGATGGGCAACATTCAGACTCAACCTAGGATGTATATTTGCTTTTGTACAGTGTTGAAGTGTGTGAATCACCTCGTTTTTCAAGTTAAATTGTTAGAGGCTGTAATCTGTGATATGTCCCCTAATGACCATTTTCAAAAGAGTTTTCTCTCTTCCATTCTCTTTTCACAAATAAGTTAAGACAAGAAACTGGTAGAGTTTCTTGCAATGCAATTTGTATCCTGCCTGTAATCTCAGTGTCTCACTTTCTAAAAGCAGTTGCTTTCTATTACTCCATGAGTATGGTGCTTTTTTGACTAGCTAACTTTAAGTCAAGATCTAAATTTTATCTGTGCTGCTACGCTTGTATTAGGTAAGTCAAGCTTTCTCCTTAATCTCTGTTTCTTGTCAGACTTAGTCACAATATTGTGCATGGTCTTTAGTTCTGGCATCTTTTATTGACGATTCATGCCGAGGATTTTGCTTTGTGATTTCAAACTAGTAGTCCTCACTTTTTCAATTTCCTATTGGCAAGAATATGCTTGATTCACATGTTAGCCTTCTGAAACTATACTTGGTGGATCTATAGTTTGTCACCTTTATCATCTAGTTCAAATGTAGTCTGTTTCTCCTTGTAAGTAACTGTTTTCTTTCCTTCTGGACTTCTTCATAGATGGATACTCCAACATCAGCAAGATCTGGTTCAGGACCTTCTCGGAAGGTTTGTAACCACTGGTTCTTTTCTGTCTGTGTTTCAATACCTTTTGTATATGATAGTATTTTATGGCCAATGAACTGATAAAGTATCTGCATCCTTATTACTGCCACTTGCCTAAAATTCTGTAGTACTAAGCAAAAGCCGGAAGCTAGAAGGGTTAACACAGAACTTACTGTCGAAACGTGTTTTGGCTCCAATCAAACATAAAAACTACTTAAATCTGTTTCCATCCACTCTTATCCAAAAATATAAATGCAAGCTATGTTGGATATTGCAAATCAGTAGCTCTCTAAATATTTCTAGTTTCTTTTTTTTTAATGCTAGTTATGTTGGATTGCAAATCAGTAGCTCTCTATATATTTCTAGTTCCTTTTTTTTTCTTTTGAGAAGGTAACATATTTGTATATAGATATAAAGTTGGACCTCCCACTTCACAATTGTGTGAGTCCCCCATGATTACAAAATGCCATGCAAAATATCTCTGCCATCCTATATCTTCTTTATAAGGAATTAGAACATCGAAATTTGGACCGTGATCTTCTCAGCTTATCCCTTTACACCAAAAGTAAAAAAAGATTACACTTCATTTTCTACTTCTGGGAGTTGCTAGTCTTCTCTGCAAAACATCTTTGTTTTCTTTCCCAGATTGTCCACCAAATGCTAGCTGGGACAATCCTCCATGTCTTTTTGTTGCCAGTTGGGTGGCCTTCACTGTTCCAGCAATTGAGAAATTACGAGATACTTCTTGGCGTTACCTATTGTATACCCCTCAAGTTTAAAAACATCCTCCATAGCTGTGAAGTTCCCTTACAATGTAAAAAAAGATGAATATCTGGCTTTGCCTCTTCTCCACATATGTAACAAGGGTATTATCCTCTCCTGGCAAGATTTTCCTGTGTAAGAACTGCTCCTCTGGCCAGTAACCAAGTAAATAATGCAACTTCATATGGAATTTTAACCTTCCATATCATTTTCCATGACCAAACTTTCCAAAACAATAATTAGATGTGTTGAATTTCCTTGAGCTGAACTAACAGAGAAGTTCCCTGTTTTATGTCCTTGCCATATCAACTGATCCTAGTAATCTGCAGTTCCTGAACTGCTCCAGCATTTTATATAATTCAACCACTCTGTCCATCTCCCAATCAAAAGGAATCTTCTGAAGGTAAGGTTCCAGCCTTGAGGACTCCAATCCTCTCCACCTTTAGCTTCTTGTTGTTGATTGATCCTGTGAATATCAGGAAGTGATTTACCAAAGCATCACTTGGCAACCAATTGCCGTTCCAAAAATAAATCTTTATACCATTACCAATTCTAAGAGTGGTTTTGGTGCTGAATCCTGGCCAAGGATTCCTTATGGGCCTCCATAGATCGACTCCATAAGGAAGGCTCATTTACCTTGTTGGTGGTCTACTGTTCTGTACTGTATCTCTCCTAATCACCTCCTTCCACAATAAATACTTATTTGAAGAAACTTCCATGGCCATCTCATCATCAAGCTTCAGTTCTGTACCTTTTAAGCTTTTTTCCCCAAACCCCCATCCTTATGCTGATTACCAGTGAATCCCATTTGACAAGGTCAATTTTTTTCTTTTCACTGTTTCAATCCCATAGAAAATTTCTTCTTAAAGAATCAGTTCTCTCGGCAACAGCCAACATTCACTAGAATAGGGAATAGAGACATCATGTATGTTGGCATAGCATCCAGAACTGAGTTTATTAGAGTAAGCGGCACCCAAATGAAAGGTACTGGCATTTCCTATGAGCCAGTTTCTTCTCACATTTTTCTATTACTCCATTCCATATCCTATTTGATTTGCTTCCCAGAGGAATCCCCAAGCATACAGTTGGCAGTTCCCCAACTTTTCTGTACAAATATTAGCCAAACTTAGGATATCATTACATCATTAACTCGATATACAATATCTCTTGTTCCAGCTAATATGTAAGCCTGAGATATCTTCAAACAGAATGAAAAAATCACCCTCATCATCATCGACTGTTCTCTGTCAACTTCACAAAATACAAGAAAATCATCAGCATACTGAAGGTGAGAAATTGCCATACTTCAGTCAGCTCTTGTGCTAACTTTGAACCCCTGAACCAATTATTTTCCTGTGCACTTTTCACCAAACCATTCAGTCCTTCCATGGCTATGATGAAAACTGAAAAGAAAAAAGAGAGAGAGGATCTCCTTACCTTAAGCCTCTCTGGGAAGGAAAAAAACCAGACAGGGTACCATTTATTAGTACTGAAAATTTGACACTGCTTATGCAAAACTTAAATTTACCTAATCCATCTTTCGCCAAATCCTATTTCCTCATCACATCCAGCGAGTATTTCTTATGTGTGTATATATATATTTCAGAGGCTTGTAGATTTTTGATATATTTTCTATATCTTTTCTTTTCTAGTAACAGATATATAGCCCTAGATCCAATTGACACCACATTATTGCATACATACTTTTGAATAAAACCTAACTGAATGGTCATGTGTATAACAAGCTTTATGAATCGCTAGTAAAGTAGATGGTTTACTTTAATCAAGTACTTTATCGTCGATATCTTTAACTACCAAAACAGAAAAAAAAGGAAAGCTGTTCTTTTACTTCGATCTTCTTGTTTTGTTTCTTGTACATCAACCTCCTAGAAGTCATGACATTTTGCACTTAGAAATCATGTCCATTCCTTTGGATATGTGTCCTTACATGCATAAATAATGAAACAAAGCTTAGCTGCAATTTTTTTTTATTGAGAAAGAAAGCTTAGCTGCAATTTACAAGTGGTTATAAAGTGTTTGGGCATAAGTTATAGAAAGATGGATTTGAACCCAACTGTGCAAGATTCTGGAAGGATTATAAAGTTCTTCCAGTGTTTGTTCTGCAGCCTGCATGATTTGTGGTACATCTAGAAATTTCTCGCAATAGTTTCATCCTGGTATTCTTCTACGTACCCTATGTGAAGCCAAACTTCAAGTGAAATATTTGATGCATAATAATAACCTGCTAATATGTGTTTGCAGCCTCAGAATTCTAAGTTAGTTATCTAACTTCAAGTTTCATGTTTATAGATGTCATTAACTCCCAAAGATTTAAGTTTTGTGGGCTATACATACAAAAACTTTGATGCTGTCAAGGCACTGCGCAACTCTTCCGGTGAGTCATTTGTTCCCCTTTCAATGCCTTCTACAATTGTGTAATTATACTTTAGTTAGATGTTTGCGTGTGCTTATCTTTCATAAAAGTGGACCTCTGACACCTATCTAGAAATCTCCTCGGAACTACTGTAACTGCACTCTCCAAAGAAGCATTGTAGGTTTTCCTCTAACTTTGGGGGGAGTTTCTGCAAGTTCTTATCTGAAAATGAAACCAGTTCAGAGTTCACAAGATTGATATTTCTAATACTTATTATTGTTATTGTTACTATTCATGATGATGGTGTTGTAAATCTTTTTGTTTGTTTATCTGGCTTCTAGGCTGAATTTGAAGGTTTTGGTACAACTACTTTGCTTCCTTTCCCAAGCTCTCTGATATTTTAAGGATGCATTTCTCGATTGCACATGGTTTATAATTATTGGTCTGGAATTATAAAATAATAATAAACTAGTGATGCTAACCTGCAAGAAGTTTTGTGGAAATTATATTATCAAGAACCAAAATGAATGTTTAAACTATTTCAGAAGGCATACCAGGCATTAGACTATGTACCTTCTTGTTTAACATCCAATGGCACTTCATCCGAAATCGGAAACAAATAGATCTTCAAAAGACCGCATGGACCTTCTGCTATTTTGAACCTAATCTCTGTTACTGAACTAATGAGTAGTATCTGTCATGTTTCTATTTGCTTTATGTGATGTTAAATGTTCATCTTATCTGTCTACATATAAGTGCGCACAGAGTGATTTCATTCTCATTTCAATTTTTTCCAGATCCTACAAGGGACACATCACCTAGGCGGCCGTCAATTGATTCCATATTCAGTAAGTGTTGTGACCTTGTAAATGGTTTAAATATCGAACTTCTTATCCTACTAGTCTAATTAATATGACTGCAGATAATTCTAAGGACTATCCTTCAACAAAGGGAACAAGTGGAGAAATAGACACAGATATGATAACGTCAACCGGTTGTGCAATATCTCCATGATATCGCCAGAGCTTTATATTGAAAAAGAAACTAGCAAAGGTGGTGGTAGCATACACCTGTTGTATTTGATCAGGTTGTTCACCCCTTCATCAGCATTCCAAGTGTGTTTGGCACCATGATATAAGTGTACAGTTAATGCTTGAGAAACTTGGTTGATTCGTAGGACATGGAAACTGTTGTAGGAAATGTAATGTTTGTGCAATAGAAACTTAGACTGCTTAATATCGTCCATTGCCCAGGTTGGCAATCAAATGCTAACTCTTGTGGCAATTGCTGGTCAGATGAAATTTATTACTTCTGGGACCAATTATGCTGTGGTTCCTTTTTTAAATATATGGGCAAAACTTTGTTCATAAATATTGCAACCCCCATTGTATCTTATCTTTTGGTTATGATAGAGGCTTTTCAGTAAATATGGACCATGATATGTCAAATACTATGACTAAAAATAAATTATAATATTTGACATCTTTGAAAAAAAAAAACTTTTTGAGACATGGCTAGGAAATAGCATCGCCCAAGTCATAACCTTGTTATTGCATGAGAGATGATTCTTTCATGCAAGTGTTTGTTTATCAAATTGGCACAAACTTGAGATATTTACTTCTGGAGTTCGATATATAGACTTTTTGCAAGTTCACTAACAACTTCTCACTTTTCATATCAACACACGCCTCAACATCAAATACTACTTTATTTTAACCATCTAACCAGCAAGTGGTGCGAAGAATAGCACATGCTCACCTCACCTATTGAGGTATTAATTAACTCTATGAATTATGTTTTAGTTAATTTCGAATAATTATTTCACTTCTAAGATTCCACTAGATATGTTTGTTTTAGGTAGTTCGAACAATTATTTCACTTCTGAAATATCACTATATTTGATTGAATCCAGCTCCTGTTCTGATCTTTCCTCCAAAGATTCTCAAATTACAGTTCCATATTCTATTGGCTCCATGCCTTGATAAAATATTTAGTCAAACTATCAATATTTTTATATATATGATGTATAGTCAAGAGTGTGAAAGAATATTGCTCTTTCATTTTCATCAACATCCAAATTATCTCCTATAAACAAAGCTAAGAAAGGCAATCAAGAAAGAGACTAATTTAACTTTCAGCTCTTATCTCAACAGATGGGACGAGTTGCCATTCCCTTACCTGCAACAACTGTAACTCAAAAATGATCTCACTAACAGTGCTAAAGGTTTTAACAAACGTAATCCCTTATACTGGGTGGTGTACCCCCATGAACCAAAATTTGCAAACACACAATAAATAAGTACAAGGAAACACCAAAGACCACAATAAAACATGAAGCTGCACTCGACTCAAGACCCAAATGAAAATCCAAACCATCCCAACAACAACAAATAAGACCACAAGAGACACATTGCTTATATCTATCATATCTATTGGATCAGACAGAAACAACGAATGCTATTAACCTTTCAAAAAAAAAAAACTGACCGACAATACAAACATTTTAATTCTTTTCTTCAGCTTTCTCTTCCTTCTTATCTTCCTTTTCCTCTGTAGCTGCAGGGGCCTCTTTGTCTTCAGGTTTGTCATTTTTATCTTTGCTTTCAACACTAAGCTTTTCAATAAGTTCAGTAGCAGCAGCACCAGCTTCTTCACTTTGTCCAGACTTTGTCTGTTGAGATTCAGCAATTTCTTCAACCTTCTCTTTGAAAGCCTTGCAATCTGACAGACAAGATTAAAATAAAGTTAAAAATCTGGTTTTGAAAAACAGGGGTAATGTTAAGAATTGTTCCAAACATCTAATTCAACTTGGTTCTACAAATCTGGAGTAATCCTAAACAGTTGTTCAGTGTTGATTTAAGATGACTTGCAGGATTACAGCCCATGCAAGGAATGCAACTAAGTTTCATGAATGTACTCAAGGAGTTTGTGTAAGCCATTAATTAGTAATCACACTGTAATAAGAAGCTCATAATTTGTGATTTACAAGTAAAGAATACATCAAGGAAATTAGTTTCTGATTCCCAATACATCAACCTCAATTAAAGAGTGGTGAGTATCAAATATCGCATGACATAACCCACCATCCAAGATATTTCAGCCATCTTCAGGGGAAATTAGTTAAGACAACTCCTGAAGAAGCACTAACAAGAGTATAACTCATGGATGTATGGAGTGTGTGCCACATAATTAAGCTAATTACCATCATTCAACATATCATAATCAATAACCTAAATGTGCACTGAGTACCAATGACAAACACCATTCTTTGGTATGGTTGGACTTGGCAATATAAATCCTCAATATCCATTCCATTCTGTTTGGGACCATTTTATTTCAATACTAAATCACTTCTTCTAATACAAATTAGGGCACTCTAAACTACTTAGAAACAACACCATCAATTGTATGTAATTTAACTAATGATCCACCCTGTGGAAGTGGTGAGCTTATTTCATTTTTCATCTTTATCAATTGATAAATCACATGTTGATTGAAAATAGAAGATTTCAAATAGCATATGGAAATCCTATCACAATGACTTTCAAGTGTTACATACGCATAGGAGAAGACAAATAGCTCAAAAAGCATATCTTAACTAAAGGCACAATAATAATACCCAAAAGATGCATAAACAGATTACTCACTCTCAACTGAAGCAAAGCGGATGCAAAAAGTCTCATCTTTCAGTTCTCCATCAGCAAAGTCAGCAGCATGCCACACACAAGACTTCTCATTCCCAGCATGTTCTTGGATCGACATAGTAGGAAGGACTACACACAAGATTTTATCAAACAGCAGCTCAGAATAAATACAACCACAAACATTAACAAAACATAGAAAAACCAATAAGGGAAATCAACAATCAAGAGAATTGGAAAAGAAGGATTCTGACCCAAGTGGTTGGCACAGATTTTCAGCGTCTTGGATTGCCTCATCACAAGCCTAACCTTTCCAGTTTCCTTGTGCTTGAGAAGCTTCACAGTCCCAACACCTCTCTCTTTCCATTGACTCCCTTCCTTGTCAAATCGGTATAACTTTGATTTCCTACAAAAATTCACATCAGGGATTACAACCAGAAACAATGAACATTCTCTTTGCTGCCAAGAGGAATCTTTCGCCAACTTTTTTATGTATAACTCCACCCTTTGTGATTAAAATTGTGGGGTTTGAAAGAACAAATTCATTTCATTTCCTTGAACTTTTAGAATAAGATTTAAATACTTAAAAAGGACATACAAGATAATATAATTATAGTTTACAGTAGTCAATATTTGAAATCATAATCAAATGAGCCAGGGGCGGATCTAAGAGGATCCGAACACCCTCGCAAAATAATGACACTACATTATAAGGGTTTTTTTAAAAAAAAATAGTGTACAAATATAGACTACAAATCCCCTCAACACAATACTAGAGTTCGAATCAATGGCTCAGAAGGTTCAAAATTACCTTGAGGCTCTAAGTTCAAATCCCAAGAACTACATTTTTAATTTTTTCCAACCCCTTACTAAAAATCCTGGATCCACCACGGGATGAAATAACATGATTAGTTATAGATTCATAGAGCCGACCCCAACAGAGTCGTTTGTAATCAAAGGAAAAAAACAATAGTAGCTATTTTAGCATATAGCTATCACATCGAGTGGGATAAATACTTTGGAATTGAGACTTAGTACATTGATCATTCTGAAATAAGGATAATAGATTCTTTACATCTACAAATCATTTTCAGAAAAATCAAAGCTTTACTACCAGATCAAGCACTGGATGAAGAAATTAAAGCTTGATTTTGGAAAAAATGAAGACATAGAGAAAAGAGTTACTAACAGATCAAGAAGAACATGTTCATTTTCTTCACCAGTGGAGACAGCAACTTCTTGTAGCCTAACAATGGGAGCAACTTGTGCACCAGTGTCTTCATCATCGCCAGTTGGGTTTTCTTCTACTTCTGCTTCTACTTCCTCTTCTTTCTTCTCCAATTTGGGTTCAACAGTAGTGCTTGCCATCACTCTAGATTTTTGGTTTTAGAAAGATTTACGGCGGATTTGAAGAAGAAGAAGAACAACAAGGGAGGAAGTAGGGTTTTTGATTTGATAACTTTGCCTCTTTTCTTTTTGCTTTTTTTGGTTGGAGTTTGTATGGCTAGTCCCTCTAAGTTAAATTAACTATGAATATTGCCCCTCTTCCACTATTCTTTTTAGGAAAAATTATGTAAAACGACAAACATTTATAGTATATTTTTTAATTTAGCCATAATTTGGATATTTATGTTTCGCGATTATAATTATCTAAATTTTGATATTTGGTTTCTAATTGTATACTTTATTATTTGTATAATTCGATTTTTGATTGTAAAGATTCAGAATTTGTATATGTTTATCCTAACCATTTGTTGATACAATTTGATTTTTATAAGTTACGATAAATTCTTAGCAAATTACCTTATTTGTATATTGGTGAGCGAAATATACAATCGGAGTTTATGAAAAAGTCATGAATGTACAAATACAAAGATTGTATATATTTACTTTATTTGTAAAGTGGCAAGCGAAATATACAAATAAAAATACTCAGCAAACGAAACTATATTTATTGACCGTAATTATGCAAACATAGCTAAGAAGACTTATTAAGTTTTAATCCCTTTGCTATTAATGAAATTTTCTCTTTTTTTTTTACCTGTTATTTTATCGTAAAACTATGAACCCGTTTGAATTGACTTTTACTTGTTTTTACCATTTTAACTTATAACTAAGCACTTATAAGCTTAGTTTTTGTATACCCCAACACTTCAAATATGTTGAAAGGTTGTTTGGGCTTAAAAACATTAAAATAAGACCACCAAACAAGTTGTAAGTTAAAAGATCAACAACAACAAGATACTAGATAAGATATATAGAACAATGATAAAATTTTCTTCTTTTTTTTCAACTATATTTTAAATATCTGCAATAAGAGTTAGAATACTTTTATTTATAGATGTTAATAAAGGCATACAAAATATTGTAATAACATGCATAAATGATGACAATTATAAGATAAGATAATGAAGAAGGAGATAGACATAGCATTAAGAATTAAGGTCACATAGGAGGTGTACCAAAGGGTAGTAGATAGTGGGGAGATGGAGAGATTACAATTAGTGGATATCCACGTAAATAAAAGGATCACATAAATAAAAGGAAAAATTATATATAATGGCAAATTAATAAATCAAATTAAATGTTATAATTATTATACTTTGATTTGATTGTGTCTTGTAGCATCTGTTTGCTAGTCGTCTCTCTCCCTCAAACTCTCCCTCTCTCTCTCCTTCTCGAGCTCGCTCCCTCTCTCTCGCTTTTATACAAACACAAATATATAAAAATGTGTTTGTGTTTGTATAAAGCGAGAAATTTTTTTTTTGTGTATATATATATATATA